TACATAACACTTTTAACATCATGTCTATTTTAGTCATTATTCACAGTTACAACAATTTTATATTAAAACTTACCAAACGGTTTTGACACTGCTTTTTGTACTAACAGCACTTTAAAAATATTGTTTACCAAACACGGACCTGCTTTACTTTACAGCTAATTATTTTCAAAGCACAGCATAAGCAACTTTTTTTTAAAGTGACAGCAATCCCAAACTAGGCCTTAGTACAATGATCTTTGGATTAAACCTAAAAATGAAAATGAGGTTGGTTGAACTTTTCTTATAAATCACCTTTCCAAATGATCATGAAGATTCCTCTTTTCTTTTTATGGGTTGAAATAATCAAAGACTTCATAGTGAAATATAAACAATATTTGTCAAAACGATGTATGTGTCCAAACCAAAACTCATGTGGAAAGCCCAGCTTCATCGTTAATGTTTGAAAACGAAAGTATTCAATTCGTGCTGTACAATTAATAGTATTGTCGTGCTACACAATTAATAATATTGTTACTGAAAAATAAAAAAGCTAATTAATATTTATTTTTCGTCAAATATACAACAATATTTTTCTATTACTATTTAAAGAGATACAAGGACAAAGGACTTGCCTTCCCATTCATTACCTACAGAATCATACTTTCCCAATCCATTAATAAATTCATCCTCTTTCATAATTGTGCTCTCTTCTTTCAAATTTATTTATTTATAATTGGAAAGGGGTTTCGTTTTTCTTTTTATTTTTGTTTACTTATAATTTGGATAAGAGAGCTGTTGGATCATGATTGGTTCCTAACTTTGATTAAAATGTGACTGCGTACGTACGTGTATAAGTATTTAAATAATAACCATTAATTATATCACACCACCAAAGCATATAAATAAAAATGATGTGGCCCTATGTACAATGGCATAAAGCATTAAGCCACGCTGTTTACATTATTTATTTATTTATTATATAAAAATAAAAATAAAAATAAAAATAAAAATAAAGGGTATATAATTTATGTGTAATTGTACATATCTAGTCCATTTTGTGCCACATCCTGCTCTTCTTTCTGCAGGCCATTACCTAATTAGCTCTTAAACAAACAAGAAGAGGGAACATAAAGTTACATCACAGGTAGTGGTGTGGTAGGAGGAGATGATCATCACCTTTCCATGCCGCACCTGGCAAACACATAGCTACTCAAAATTTTATTTATTTATTTATTTATTTATTTAAACTACTCTAATAACAGCACACTATAGTGAGGGACGGAGATTCGGATTTGAGCGTAGAAGAGCACACTATAGTGGTCAACTGACCTAACTCATAACAATAAAAAGTCTTTTTTAAGGTTGATTTGGTATACGATACGATTCACTTACATAATTTAAATTTTAAAAAAAACACTAGATTTCGTTTTGAAAGAATACATACAAAATAGTTTGCTATACCAAACAAAAATTATTTTAAAAATCAAAAGAAAATTCTTGATGTAATAACAGACAGAAAATTCATGCAAAAACAAGCGTAATGTCACAGCAAAGATGGAGACACAGTACGTGTATTAGGAAAAGCTTGTTTTGCTTTATTCTCAGCACCTAATTATTCTAATTAATTTATTAAGATGATGGAAGATGGAAGGATACGATGGAAAACATATGAAAGATGTGGAATGTCATTATCATACCCATAAAATTCACTAATAAGTTGCTTTAATTTATGTGCTGTTATTTATGGTTTGATGGGGAGAGACGATTTTAAATTGGCCATGCATTTTGCATGAAATAATTTCATATTTCTGGGAAATATGTTTTGACGGGTCACCATTTTTTTCTTGAAAATATTTGGATCGATGTTGCCGTGGATCTACTTGTTTCCAGAAAACAAAAAGATATTGCTTAAAATAAGAAAATGCATGAAAAGAGTGTTTTTGAACAAAAGTTTCGTGAAAATGGATGATTAAAAAAAATATATATATATATTCGAGAAATAAAGTGAGTGGAGCCACAAAATAAAACTATGTCCTGCTCACCAAATTCTCCCTTGAAGATTCTGTGGATTTGATCCTTGACAGATTCACTGGTTTTGTTTTGTGGATAAAAAAACTTGCGTCCTCAAATTATCTTTAAAAAAAAAAAAAAAAAAAACTCAAATTCTTGTCCATTTGAAAGGAAATATGTTAGAGATATGCATAGGCATCAAGAAGAAGAGGAAATATGTTACCACCATTGTTAAGTTTACTAACAAGAATTATGGAGATTCACTATTATACCTAATATAGGAGTCCAAATTATAAAAACATCATATATTAAATGGACTTTAAAAACACACCCAAAGCTCATTTACAACATAATAAAAAGGCTTTTAACTTCTTTTAAATTACAAAACTGTTATTGATTTCTTAAAACAAACACAACCCCAAAACCTCAGGAAAAAAAACCCAAAACACTCAATAGGGCATCAAAGTAATTTACTAATCAAAATTAAATTCAATAGGACCAGCTGTCATTTTTTGGGTTCTTTTTTTGGTTTGTTTATAGAAATTAAATGGTGTAAGATTTATTTATAATTTTAGTGCTAAAAATGGATATATAACTAAATATCTCTAAGAATTATGGTACATTTGGTGCGCAAGTGAACACAATTCCTTGTAACTTATATATTAGAAGATGTTTTGAAGCTCAAATACTCATTTTCGTTGATTTTTTGAAAGATTGATTTTATAGCGAAAACACTTTTATTATAAAGATGTTGAAATTTTCATAAGAAATTCAAATGCTTCCTGAAAAAGCACATGATAGGTTTTTCTCCAGAAAGCGCTTATATTGCCCAAAAGTACTTTTGAACTTTTCTGCCAAATATTGTCAAAAAATGCTTTTGATTATCAAAAAATGTTTTAGCCATTCCATAAGCACTCCCAAACATTCCGAAAAAAACACAAAACACTCCCAAATGGTGCTGGATAACTTTCCTCTGGATATTATTACTAGAGTGTACCTTGACATGTATGGTATTAAGATCCCTGGGATCTAACTTTTAATCTATTTTTGTTTTATAAAAAATATATATATATATATATATTATTATGATTAAATGTTCAAATAACTAAAAATCCTACTCATTCAATAAAGGGTTCGAAAACACAAGTACATGGAGAAATAGGTGGATTCCACATAAGTGGATTCACATATATTAAAACCATCTATCTGATAAGCAAGCGAAAGAGACCCACTTCAAGTCTTCAACCTCAAGGTGGTTTGGAATTTACTTGGACCTTAAAAAATGATTAAATAAAATAAAACACTCCTAATTTCAATAATTAAAAAGAAAAAGCCCCAACAGAAGAAAAAAATAGTAGAAGATTGGACGGCGGCTGAGACGGTGAAGTTGGTATGGGCCGTGTGGGGTAATATGGTAAACACCTGCGAGTCCCACAGATAGAGCTTTTATACTATATAACACAGCCTTGTTGACCATGTCGTCACTGTCCTCCACAGCCCTCGATCTTTGACTCTTTTTCTGATCCAACGGCTCAAATCTCTCCCAGTAGGACGGCACTTCACTTTGGTTGTTGTTCCTAGTTAAGCTTCCAAAGCTAGTAACTCAAACCAAAAAAAAATAGATAAAATGAAAAATGGAAGTCCAAAATGACAAGGGACTTCTCTCTCTAGGCCTTGGATCATTCACATAGACGTTTTTGCCTCCCTCTCTCTCCCTCTCTCTCTCCTAAGAGGAAAAGCCTCTTTTCCTCTCTCTCTCTCTCTCTCTCTGTAGAGTCTAAAGAC